CATCGAGGGAGGGGAGATAGTCGAAAGATGACACAGGGCGCGTAGTTCTCTTATTAGAGCAGTTGTAGCTGTTTTCTAAACACGGGAGAGTCCATGCGTAACTACTTGAGTAATATTTGAATAAGCCCAAGCCCCTTCGTTTCCGTTTTCCAGAATACTATTTGATCCTCGGCTGATTAGAAACAACGCATGTATTCTGGTTTATGAGGAAACTTTTTACAATATGCAACGACAGTGAATTCGTCAAATTTCGGTTGGGATTAGTCATCTTCTTTCTACTCTTTTGACTCTCCTGATGTTGATTAAAAAGTGTTGAAAAACTGTGAAAAACCAACAGAAGAATCTGACCTAACGTACATCAAGACAGTTGTTTGAAATGACAAGATATAAGAATTTTTTAAGAACATAGACAAGAAAGTGAGCGTGTGTGTTTATATGTACACAACGAAAAAAAAGAAAAAAAGAATATGTGTCGAACAAGAATCGAATTCGCAGACTGACGCAGTCAGCATTGAGATTAGAAGCACGCGACGTATACCATTTTTTGTGGTGATTTCCAATTTTTCACCATGAAGAAAGAGCTTCTCCAATTTCCTAAGTTTTATCTGCTGGACTTAACCTTGCCTTGTACAAATCGATTCCATAGTGAGAAACGAAATTTACTGTTTTTCACCAAAAATCTTTATAAATCTATTATAATAAATCCTGCAAATAAGACTGGTTTTCTTGAAGCGTTTTCTGTATTTTGTAATTCTAAGCGGAGTTAGTTTCCACTAAAATCTGAGGATGGTGATACATTATAACGGCAGGACTTCGTGAGACACAAGCATGTAATAAATTGAGCCATGAAGCAATGTAACGGTCAGATCCTTTCCACTATTTTATTGATGAAGATTAGTTATTTTGAAAAGGCTTTTTGTTATAAAGGTAAACTTCATGATGGAGTATACAAATGACTTTTCTATATTGAAATGGATGCAAGGTTGGAGAAGCAAACTATCCATATTGGTATATATCAAAGTATTATTAATTAAACCTTAATTCATTATTTTAATATTTAAAAACGGCTGATAGAAAAGTATGAGTGGTTATGGAATAAACAGAATGATCAAGAATTTAAAAAAGAACGAGACGAAACTCAGTTTCTAGAAATGAACGGATACGTTATCATTGTCACAAATACTTAACGATCGAGAGACAGTCCGTACAAAAATTAGAGAGCATTATCTTGTGGAAATTTATTTTTATTTCTAACCAGCCATGTTCTTTTGATTCTTCATCCACTTTTATGAGACGCTTCCTGGAAAGATGTTAGAAACTCATAAATCGTATGTTTTTATATTTGAGTCATTTTTCCTTTTGCTTAACTCTCCTTTCTTCTTATCTAACGAAAGAAATACGAGGATGCATACCACTGAATGAAGTCGTAATGTAATTAGCATGTGAAGAAATAGCCAAGCTTGTAACTGTCAATGGGCGCTAGATCTAGACATATATTTCATAAAATGTCCATAAAAATCTGAATTTAATACTGGGTGAAATTGATGAAGCGAATGTTATCGCTGCAGCGATTATTATCAAAAATAAAACATACATTGTGGGAAGAAACGAGGGGGAACCTTATCATAAAAGCCTTTATTGATGGCAAATATTTACAGAACGCATATTAGCAGCAGTAAGTAAGCAAACAACAACGAATATTATTCTTTCCTAACTTTGGTTTGTTGTTTTAATGGAAATAAAGAATCAATGCAAACAAAGCGCACAGTGGGCAGTTTTGACTAGGCACGTGGATATGTACTATAAAAGTGATACGAAAGCCTCTGAACACTGTTTTTATAGGTTTTGTATACGCTCTTTCTAATGGTGTCATTTACAATAAACGGAAAGTCCTCGTAGAGGTGTTAGGAGCTTGGTATTTGTACGACTATGCACGGTGTATGTGTGCCTTTTCAAAATTTGCCATAAAAATTTCAGCAAAAATAGGACAAGCGACGAGCCCATGAGCACATCGTCGCATCGTTCGTAATATTTATTGCTGAACATAAAATGTGTATCGGTTGTAATTTATTGCTACACTTTGAGACTATTCAACTGAAATGTATGGTTTCAGTTTTAGATCTCTGTAGTATAGGGGTAATTCTTTTCACATCGTCCTACACTTTACATGAAAAGTCGCAACACGTCTCATTTGGAAGAGTATTTAATTCTGAGTAAGAATGCGTCATTTAAAAGACATTAAAACATCGGTATGGGGTTCTAGGAAGGTCCGACATTTGGAGATTTTATAGGTTCCTAGACGCAATTCATACCTAATTATCTCAGAAATAACAAAAAGCCAGAAACATGAACACTTTATGATGTGGACTAGAGACAACAAGGAAGGAAATGGCTCATTTAAAAATGTTTCAGAATGCTTCATTTCTCTATTGCACTTGCTCTAAGATGGTGAAAATCATAAAAATCCGTCGTATTAAAATGCGTTTTTCACCATCAAATCGAGCTCTAAACTCAAAAATAATATGTGTCTCAGTTTCCTCAGCGTTAGTTCTATCTAGAAATGTAGTTTTCAATTGTTCACATCGCTCCCGTAAGTCTGCTGAGAGCCATCCTTCACAAGCATTACGTCACTTATTTGATTTTTCAGGTGAGGGTGGATGAGAGCAGGAACCTGAGTAGGTGCCGGACATTGGGGAGGTGTAACGAAAGTTTTTTGTCCGAGATAGTGTAAACTTTATTTTAAATAATTACCTTGTTACTGTTCTTTTAAATTTTTGGGGGGGTACGCACCCCCACCCACCCCCAATTCAGGTCTCGGGGTGAGAGCATGGCCCCCAAGCTATTTTAAACTACGTTTTCCCCATTTTTGTTGACTCCAATGCGCGTTTTCGGACTCTGCAGGTTTCGAAACATATGAATTAACTGAGATCCCAATAGCTTATCTCCGATTTCTGAGATATAGGTCTTTGAAATTCTGGGTTTTCCAGAATACCTACCAACTACAAAGTACATCGAAACATTTTGTTCAACATATCATTAGACAGAATGTTCACATCTGTACAAAATGACACATTTACACATTTTTAAATTAAGGAATGACCGAGCTGAAGTCAAAGCAGAATTGTTGTACAATAACGTCAGTGAAATCACGCAGCTTTTAGCCGTTAATGAGCCCTTTTCGAGTTTTTAATGCAATCATTTGGCTAAGCAATGTAATGTAATAGCATGTAAATAGCATTTCGTCTATAGTCAATACTTTTGACTGAGAAAACAGTTTGATAAGCGGAGAACTTCTGTTAAATTTATTCTGCTTTCCTATCCCGTTTAACGTAACATAAATGGCCATCCGTATAATCGGAGATCTTTGGTTTACAATGAATAGAAACGTTTGTCCTCATTAACAGAAGACAGACAGAAAAATCAACCAGAGGATAAGTATACAAGTTCTTGTATCGTCGTTCATTACGTGAACATAGAAAAGTCTCTTTGCTATGCAATCTATTTTCTACAACTATAGCTAAGTAAATGACAATGCACAATGTTATTGTTGATGCAAACTTAGTTTTTTATTGTTTCTAATCTTGTTGTTCTATTGGTTCGTTCAAGCTGCTCTAGTTGTGTTCGTTTGTTCTTTTCTTTTAATATTTTTCCAAATATTGTTGCACTGAATTCTTCTCTGTAAAATGTTGATGGTACAATATATAAATAGTAGCCGAGTACTTGTGGTAAATAAGAACAGAAATATGCTGCAGTTAACAGGTACCGTTGCCATGCAATATTTAATTCAGTACAAGCTAATGAAAATGAGATGAGAAATTGTGGTAGTGCACAAAATAAAATGATAATAGGTGGTATAAACAAATCTTTTCGTTTTTGAAATTGTTCTCGATATACTGTTGTCAATGCTTTATTATTATCAGCAATAGCAGCTCGTTTATGTGCAATTAATGAAATTAAAATGACTGTTAATATAAAATTAATGAAAAATGGTACTAAATATTGAATAAATGTATTGATTTGATTATACACTGATAGAATAGGATTGTACTTTGTAACACACCATGTACCTAAAAGAAACGGTAAAGATACGGTAGAAGATCGATGAAAGAGACTACTTACCATGCTGTGTATATTTTGAATCTTGAACAATATCGTAGTAAATGAATTCATGTGCATGTGAAGCTAAAGTACCAATAATAATTAGTAAAACAATTCTTTTAGCTATTTTTGGACTTTTTAACCATTGCTCGTTGGTATGCAGTGCAATATACATACGTTCAATTGTAACAAAAGCCATTAACCAATACGATATTCTTGTAAATGTTGATAATAGAAAACTTAGACATTTGCAAGATATCACATTCAGTAAATAATTCATTATTATGCCTCTTGTACCACACAGGAGGTGAACTAATTTCATTAGTAGAACGAGCAACGTTATTTGTGAAGTAACACAATTTATATAAAGGTAATAACCAACACCAGTTAGACTTGGTTTTGGGCGTCAAAATGTAACAAAGCAAAAGGCATTATTAATAAATCCAAATAGAAATAACATTAGCGTTATCGTTATATAAATACTTATTGATAATTTTTGTACTAACAATGATGGTGAAAATAAATCCTTGGACAATAGTGATTCTACACTAAAACTTAATAGTTGTATATTTGATTGACAAATCGAGCCGTAATAGCATTTTTGACATAAACATATAAAATTTGAAGGATCATTTGAGTTGCCTTGTATACATCGACCCTGTGATAAACAATGTTGACATCGATCTATTTGATGATTGTAACCAAAACATTCCGCTTTATTAAATGTATCACATACACAAAAATAATTATCATCATGAAAACATAACAGTGGTTTGTGTTTACTACATAGTTCATGATATTCATAAACTGTTGATAATGAAGAAGAATTAGCATTACCACTGGAATCAGCTGACAGTCCTAAAATAAATGATTATCTTCTGGCATAATATATAGTGTACGCCTTATACGTGTATAAGCTAACGTTTAAGGTAAAAGACTGTTGTCGATCTGTTATTGAAATCTAAACTTCATTCTTTCCCTCTCATTTCGAAAAAGACGAAAAAAACCGTTTGTGTAACGAGGGAACCTTTTGAGGTGATTAAAAGCTTTTTGATCGACATCTAGTGGGTTATGGGACTGGCCCATAGCTCTTCGAAGATCCAGTCTTCTGGGAAACCAGTTTTTCAGAAATTCCAAAAAATAACCCAAACCTTTCTGAATAATGCAGGATTGTAGCGCGCAAATTTTTGATTAAAATGATACATCCTCCAGCTCTACACGGCCTTTCTTTCCAAAGTTATAGAATTTATAAGAAGAGTCCTAAATTGTTCATTGTCAGCTCAAAGCTAGAGAAATAAGAAGGAAAGAATTAATTTAGGGCTCTTCTTATAAATTCTATAACTTTGGAAAGAAAGGTCGTGTAGAGCTGGAGGATGTATCATTTTAATCAGAAATTTGCGCGCTACAATCCTGGATTATTCAGAAAGCCTTGGGTTATTTTTTGAAATTTCTGAAAAACTGGTTTTCCAGAAGACTGGATCTTTGAAGAGCTAAGGGCCAGTTCCATGATCATAGCCGGAATCAGTATGGTCGATAATCTATAACCCACTAGATGTCGATCAAAAAGCTTTTAATCACCTCGAAAGGTTCCCTCGTAAGCCCTCTTTTTTACGAACGCCATCGTTAGACCTAGTGGCTTCTAAGAAGGGAAGATTCCCAACTGATCCACACTGTTATTGGTGATGTTTTGCCCACATCAAGAGGGATATCATGTTAAGAAAAGTTATTGTTAAGTCATGTTAAGGCTAAATTTTTTCTCATTACAGCTCTAGTTTTCCACTAGTTTCAACACAAAATTTGCGAGCTTGAACTTTAATGAGTAATTGAATGTTTACTCTTTAATCACAGCAAGCGGCGGCTGTTTTTAAGTAAAATATGTTTTCTTCACATCTTAAAGGATCTTGTGAAGCTCTACCTCTCTATCACGTTGTTTCACTCTTTTTATTCTGTTTATTATTTTAGCTTGCTAAGTATGTTTCTTCTGAAATACCCACAAGGTGGGATGGTGATCTGGAGCTGCCAGTAGCCAACTTGTCTTGTCCTTACGTTTGCCCCTTGTTGACAGTGCTTTGAACTTCAATACTACGAAAAAAGATCACTCTTGATGAAGGTGAAAAGATCGTGATGAACTCAGTATTTTCGTGTGATCCCTTTACGTTCCCTACCAATACCCAGAGGGTGTATGGTGAAGAACATAAAAATGAGGTTATGATAAAACAGGTCATTTTTCGTGTGATATTCCTCTTCTACTATCTGTATGGAAAAAATGTCTGTACCGGTTGGATAAGAATAGGATACCCTAACTTTTTCTTATAGACTGCACAATTCAAATGACCCTTTAATATGTGAAAGAAACATATTTTATACGCAAATTTTCTGTTCGAACTAGTGGAGAACTAGAGCTGTAACGAGAAAAAATTTAGCCTTGCAACCATTTAGTTACTGACTGATTTTAGCGATACAAGCGCTCTCCGTATAGAGAAATGAAACATTTCATCACTGTTAAAAGAAGGCGCATTAGCACAAATCCGTTTAGACTTTTCCTTACGAGGGAACATTCCCAGGTTCCCCGTTCCGATTTTGCTCGTTCATACATCATTCGATAGGGGGTCTCGAGTAGATAAAAAGCCTAAAAGGATATCGACCGACAACTGTTTAAGACCCGGTTTTCTGGAAAATCAGTTTTTCAGAAATTCCAAAAAATAACCAAAACCTTTGTTAATGAGACATGATTGTAGCCCGCGAAATTCTCATCAAAAATGAGATATCTTCCAGCTCTATATGACCTTTCTTTGCAAAGTTATAGAATTCACAAGAAAAGCCCTAAATTAATTTCTTATGATTTCTGCAGCTCTGAGTTGACAATGAACGTTTAGAGCTTTTCTTGCAAATTCTATAACTTTGCAAGAAAGGTCGTATAGAGCTGGGAGATGTCTCATTTTTATGCGAATTTCGCGGGCTACAATCATGTCTCATTAACAGAGGTTTTGGTTATTCTGTTAGAGTTTCTGAAAAACTGGTTTTCCAGAAAACCGGGCCTTAAAGAGTCGTCGGCCTATATCCTTTTAGGCTTTTTATGTACTCGAGACCCCCTATCGAATGATGTATGAACGAGCGAAATCGGAGCGGGGCACCTGGGAATGTTCCCTCGTTAGAATGATGTACCTATCCCACATATTGAGATCTTTTTCTCCTTGGAGTCCCCATTTTCAAGGACTTTTTCCCCCTAACCGTCTTCAGTGTGCTTTTCACTTTTGTATTACGCTTGAATTTGAATAGAACTTTAGCATTTAGTGCTTTTTCTTACATGAAATACAGTCTGCAGGAGAGCTATATCTGCCTATATGTAATAATTCCTGTCTTTTTGTCTTTTTTTCCATGCTTCTGATGGCCATCATTTCAAATAAAAGAGAAATTGAAACTTCTTTATACACTTTACTATAGTAAGAAACGAAATAACAAGTCAATACAACAGCATTTTCGTTCCTTGTACACATCTTTTAAGTTCAAACTCACATTTCGTTCTTCGAGTTAAATCTCTTTATGCGTATTTAGTTACTTTTAGATAAGCAATGTCTGATTTTGAAAGTGAACGTTCAGAAAATTAAATTAAAAAGTGGGCTACTCAGCTAGAAAGCAAGAGAGAATTTTTCAAGAATACTTGTGAAAATCAAAAACATGAACATATAGAAATAAAAAATTGCGTTTGAATTAATCATTTATCATTCTTATGTGTGACAAAACATATTTATGTTAAATTTCATGTTTTGATATGCTGATACGAGAAGAAAACGATTAACAGAAATATTTGATAGAAAAAAAGAATCTGCTTTAATTTTCATTGTACGAAAAATAATGCATTTTGTCTTGCTCTCCTTTGTATAAAAATAAGTGCTCCTTGCGTCCCACTTCTTTCTAAATTTGTCCCCGTTTACATTTTCTTCTAGTGGTCATTCCTGCTTCCTGCACGTGGATAAAATATCAACAAAAGCGGCGCGAATCAGTTGAGAACTTTCCCTCGTAAATATGCTGAGTTCGCGTTAGCCATAGTAATAGCAAATGAGTATTCGGAAAATATTTTTTGTGTGTTTAGAGTTAACAGAACTAACATCCATTGTATTGAATAACGAGAATCAAGGAAACTTACCTTTAAAAAAATATTGTTCAATATGGGATTTGTTATGTGAATGTAAAACATCAGCTCTGGGGCAGTAATTGTCTAAACTAAGCTCGACGGTCACATTTAATTGATATTTATTCATTTGAATGTACAATAGAAAATATTTTGGATGTGGATCTTTTGGGTCTTTATAATGCAGCTTTAATAAGCCTATCGTCGGTACGAGCGCTTCACCGTTACTTATTTGTGAACACTTTGGTATATTGTTCAATACAATTTGATATTTTATAATGAAATTTAATGACGATGGATGGAAATCATATAGTTGAATAACAGCAGCACCAAATGATAAAGATAATGCTTGTTGTACAGAATATGAAATATTATAAACTAAATGAATGCTACCGGATGCATACTGACAGTTATCACCATAATAGTTTTTATCACATGTACATTTATACATATGAGTCGAACGTGGATCATATGATACATGCATTGTTCCATTGTTTGAACACATGTTTGGTTTCGTTAGAAGAGAATTAGTTAAATAACATCGGGGACCAAAATGATGCAGTGGACAAATACACAACGGTTTCAAAGAAAGGCGAGGTCGACAAACAGCTTTGGATGAACAATAATTCGTTGTATCACATGAACTGTCTAGTATTTCACAGTTTTTTCCACTTGAATTATTCTGACAGTGGCAAAAGTATTCATCTAAATTATTCATAATCGGATAGCACTTGCTGTTATGTTTACACGGGTTAGTTTTTTTACAAATATGCTGTTGTTGAAATTTCAAAACTTTAGCTAGCCGATATGATGGTAGGAAAACAAACGGTTGAATTGAATAATGCCAAACAACTAATAAATTAATACTTAAATTAACATGTAACTGAAAGGCTTCGAATCGTACCGAATATGATCCGTTTAATATTCTGGGACGCGGATAAACGAAATAAAACCGATGCTTTCTATTCTCATCCACTGTTGGTTGAACATGAAATTCTTCGGTATCAATTATATCTTCATCTAACAGAAACGTTGATAGCACTTTCATCATTGTTACATCTAATGGAATCTTTTCTAAACTTATTATAACTGTTATACGATCACTAAAATGATTACAGAATTTACCATAGAAAGCTGGTGGACATAAACATACAGTATCGGCTTCGTTATGATTATCAACAACTACGGCTATACCACGCATACATATCCAGCCTTCCCATGCATTATTCATAACATATTCTTGATATTCAATACGTTGTGCAATTGTTAAATCTTTTATACTAGTAAACGTTTGATTTCGAAAATAATCTTGAATATTATTTACAAGTTGATTATTGAATGACTTCTTATAATTTGATTGCTTTGTTTGGTAAATGCCGGTTGTTAAACATGACTGATCAGGTTGTTGGTCATTGATTGACAATGGGGGAATAGTTGGCAAGCATATTGTTGGAAATGGTTTTTGTAATTTTGCATTCGAGCGATATGGCAATATTCCTAAGACATCGTCTGTATTACAGTAATGCAGACTGTTCCTAGTAAAGTAATCAGTCGGTTCAATTATTCTGCTACATTTTTCATCTTGATAAGATCGAAGCGATGGACAAAGTAATATACAGCTTAGCGTATCACAAAGTAATTTATCTTCATTGTTTAAACAACGTTCGTTACATCTTTCTTTATACGGTATGCATTGTTGTTGTTCAGTATGTTCACATTTAAAATCAAATCCGAGCATTTCATTTGACAAACAACCAGTCTGTGTATTTCGTTCATCAATTCCGCCATAACAATCGGGAATGCCGTCACCTATTTGCTCTAGCCGTATACATGGTCTTGGGTAAATTTTCAAATTGGTAAAGTTGTAAAAAAGAAGTTGGTAATAAGCAAATTGAGCTACTGTATGAGGTCGTATACATGGATATTCTGTAGTAATATTGCACCTTTCATTGTACTGTATCAAAACTTGTTTTTCAGCAGTAAGAGTTGCTGTTGCTTGACTAAACGGCTGTTCACGATAGATTGAATAGCACCGCTGTTTCATTTCAGTTAAATTCATAATCGCATTGTTATGTTTTGATAAGTGTTGAATTATAAACATACCTTGTTCATCACTTGCATCACTACAGTCCCAAACATTGTTACACACCCACGTCAATGATATACATTCTCCGCCAGCTTTACACTGAAATTCATCCTTTGAACATATCCAATATTTTTTACATAATTCTTGTATTTCATCGTTCTTTGTATTTAAATCCCAAAATGTATCACAATATTGACGAAAGCTAATTTGCTGCTGTAAAGTGTTGTCATTGACTGTATTATTTAAAAATGATGTCGCAGATGAGTTTAAAATGTAGTTTCGAAGTGTTTCACATTGTACTGAATTTGAATGTCGACATAAAAAATTTGATAGTTTTATGTTTTTATCCTCGATATATTCATCCCAGTTAGTTAAACGGCAATCGCTTTTTATATTACCTAAAGCAGTTGGTAATAAGCATGTTTGTTCACTCATCGAACATTGAAATCGATCTTTTTGAACAAATAATGGACAGTTTAGTGTTGGTGACTCGTCAGCACCATTTAAGCAATCATTATAACCGTCGCGTAAACGATATTCGGAAACACATTGAAATGTATCACCACAGCGAAAATGAGAACAGTTCATCTGATACTGTGGTCCCTCATGGTTCTTTTTAATATTAGTGTTGCCTCGAAGAGCTTCTCGACATAAAACATGTTCAAGTCTATATGTAAAACTGAAAAACTGTTCACGAGAAATATCTAATTTACTAGGAAGCATAGCTTGGAACCCCCGACATTTAACGGAATTAACGAAATAAAAGTATTGTATTTTCTGTTCATCTGGTACTACATTTGAAGGAAAAGCAATTTGAAGATACGGTGTCAAAATACTTCCACTCGGGTAGGTAACTGGATATCGAAGTTTGTCCGACGATGATGGCATATCACAATTTGATTGAAGAATCGAAGGATCACACTGCTCGTGTTGTTGACCATTGGTAAGTTTACATTTTAACTCGAATATACAATGTTTGTGATAGAATTGATACTTTGAGTCACTACCATATAACAAACAATGTCCCTGACCACCATCAGTCCACATTGGGTTTATTTCATCGATTTCACACATGAAGTTCTTATCACGAAAACTTGAACAATAATCGTTTTTCTTAATATTTCTGTTATATCGAATTTCTGCTTCGATAAATTGACCATCGCCACATGAAAAGTATTTTTGATGAAATAATGATTCATCACAGTTAAAATGGTCTGGTTTAAACGGACAACCTCGTGATGACTCAACATCATTAGCAAATTGCTCGTCCTCTAACTGTTCTGTTATTACGTCATACATTCTCATATTGAAATCGCTTTTAGAAACAAGAAAATTGTCTACGTATATAAGTGCATGAGCTCGCGTCCCGTCCATACAGTCGCGGTCCCCTGTAGTAAAAAAATGCCATTTGTCTGTCCGTTTAACTTGAGTGACAAAAGAAAACTCGGGGATCATGGAGTGAAGCCATACCAGCCTACCGTATAAATGAGTTCTGCTATCAGTTCTACTATCGATCAAAAAGCAGAGTGCTCAGATTTTTTTGAATAACGTTTGAGCAAAATAAGCTAGAGAGGTTCAGTTTATATCATTTTCAAGTAAATAATCGGAACTACCCAACGACCTAAAAGTTCTTAAAACTACCATCTACAGATGGTGTACCTTCTCTGATAAAATGTCCACCATGCTGTGGAAAAGATCACAAAATTTTTGTTCTGAATTACATCTAGGAGCCATTGGACGAGAAACCGCCTGCTTACCACGGAACCATGCTCACCGATTATCTTAAATTTTTTACTAAGTAGTCTCATCTCGTAGAGTATACGCGAAAACCTACAAATCCAAATTTTTAACCTTATCGGACCGTAGGTTTCAGAGATACAGCAAGAGTTTTCGAGAGTGTTTAGCATACAACTTTGGCGCCGGGAAATGGAAAGAAAGCGTAAAAATGCCATTACTCCGTCAATAAGAATGAGCAGAGTGAGATTTTTTCATCATATCTAGTCTAGATGGTAGTTTTAAGAACTTTTAGGTCGTTGGATAGTTCCGATTATTTACTTGAAAATGGTACAAATTGCACCTCTCTAGCTTATTTTGCTCAAACGTTATTCAAAAAAATCTGAGTACTCTGCTTTTTGACCGATAGTAGAACTGATAGTAGAACTCATTTACAGCTACTGATTGGACTACTAACAGACAGTCCATCTGATGTTTTTAGACACAGGTTTTAAAAATTATTACGATATATTATTACTATGTTATATATGTTCTATGTTATGTTATAATCCAACAGTTCAATAGGAAGTTTCCACATTTAGAAGCAACGCTGACAAGCTTTTTGTAAAAGCTCCTCTGGGAAACTACTCTTCGCACATTTAAACTTTGCAGAATTGAAAAGTAGTTGCCAATGTTTCTTTCAGATATTTAAAACGAGACAAGTTACAGAACTGAGACGCGTTTTAAAATGTTCATAGTATTTTTTTCTTCAATTTAAGACGTGTCGCAGCTCGATTTACAACCAAAACAAAATGATAAAAAAGTTTTACGGAATTCCTTTATGGTAGCAGAGTTAGCTGGACACGCCCATATACTATTTTATCAGCACTACGCGTGATAGAGCTTTTGATTCAAGAATTTCACTAAGCAACTGAGTTGCATTTCCATTCTCTTCTAAAGTTGAGCAAAGACAATCGCCTTAAGGACTATTCCAACACCAATAAAGCCCAAAATGTGTCGTTCTGTTTAATCTACTCACCATCCAAAAAAAACGTTCGGTCAATGCACATTCCATTTGCACATCTATATTCGTCTAGTTTACATTCATTAAACTCTAATACCTCACAGTCCTCTTCATCGGTTCCGTCTATGCATTGTTGGTTACCTAGAAAAAAAACATTTCTGATTTTGTATTTATCTATCAATAAACCAATATTGATCAGCAACCATTATTGATCACCTTCTTACCATCACAAATATGACGCCAGTCAAGACATAATAAACCATAATCGCATATAAACGATGATTGATAGCAAATGGTTTTTTCTAATAACTGGCTACCTAATACATACTGTTCTTTTAGTAGAAATTGATATTTTAATGTTTCTTCGAATGTTGATAGTGATATAAATTCATATTCACAATATTTCCCAAAACTACCTTCTTTTGTACAATTACATAAAATTTCATCGTCATTTCGACTATCTCTGAAATACAACAAAAATGATTTTTACACAACAAGCAAACGACATTCCAGTACCGCGGCTGTTTTGAAAACTGAAACGCAGACACATGCTGCCATTTAATTATTGTCATCATACTCACTGATAACAATAACAGGACGATTTTATAACGGCTGGATCAAGGTGGGCACAAGTAGAGGGGCTTTGGAGACCGCTCTTCTATCAATTTAGTGCAAAAATAACTGCTACACTAGTCTAACATGAACCCACAAATTAAGACGATCTTCAGCTATCTCCTCTAGCAAAATCTTCCGTTTATTCTCTTTTTTCTTTGACAGGGACAGACTTATAAATTAGATATAAGAAATAACTTACCTTACCCATTTAAATATGCTGCATAATTCTCAGCTATTTCAATCGTTGATCCACTCCATAATAAAATGTCATTCAATTGTATTTGATTCATTTTTAATGTTTTAAAATCAAGTTGTTGTGCATCCGGGGAACACCTCTCACTTCCGCGACGTTCAAGTACAAACGATTCATCAGATCTTAAACAATATTTTACTATATCAGTTTGATTCAAGTAATAAATGCAATCCCGATATTGTGCTAAACCATCTTCTGTATTATAGAGTAAGATTCCAGCAAAGGTTAATACAGCGCTGCTTAATGAAACTACGAATATTAATATTGTTTGCATAAAATATTAATTATTGTGTGTTGCGAGACATTTACTAGGAGTACCTAGTAACTGGGAGATCTCATGATCGTAGAAAAAGAATCTTGTGAGTTATTTATTTGACTTTTTTCTGTTATACTTTTAATTTGAATTGAATATGCTCAAACATCGATCAAATTTGACAAGAATAAATATTATGCCAAATACTTAATTAAAAAACAATACCTCATATGCTTCCACGAAGAACAGTAATGAACGAGCTGAGAGCATTTTTCCAAAAATCATAATTCGAACGAAGGTAATAATACTAAGAATGACAGATTACATTTATTTCACCTTGAAAAGAAGAATCATCATTTTTTTTCTCATTTAGCGCTTTTTGTCTTTTTGTTTTTCATATTTTTGCAGAAAGAGCAAAAATCATGATATAATAATAATGAAAGAAGAAAAAAGTGTAATAATGACGAGCAACAATCAAACAAACATAACAAAAAGAATAAGAGAAAACGCAAGTATCTGAGTACATGTTGGAATAGAAAGACCGGGGACGATAAGAGCCAAAATCAAAAGCAGCAAAAGAGGAACTTTTGTTCATGATAAAGACTACAAACTTCAACAAAAATGCGTTATTCTTACATCCAATGAGTAAAAAAGGCTAACTGCAAGTGAAAACGTAAGCATAAGTGAGCTTCTCAGTGAATGTCCGTAGATGTCCGCATTTTTTACTAATACACTTTCAAGAGCATCTAGCTGTGAGTTATATTTTAAAAACTGAATATTCGTTTGTATAGAAGAAATAAATTAGTAAAAAAATGTGTAAGAAGTAGATGCAATCCATATCATCACATTATGTGGCCTATAAAAACGTTCAATTCTATTATTTTAAATTAAGGTAAATAGAAGTTTGGCTTAATCTCGATTCGTCCTTAAGTGCTCTCTCTCAATTCGTCTCACAAAATTTTTTCCTAGTTCATCCCACTTTTTTTCGTTTTTTTCATTTACGAGTTTGGACTTCAGATTCTTCTGTGTGATGATGCTGAAAGACATGTTCTTGACGTAATAGATCAATAAATTCATAAATAAGTGGATGAACATTTTAAACGTTTATTATACCTCTCTACGTGGTTTACTTTTTTCGGTTTCTGTGAAACTTAACATTGCAAACTTCACTCACACGACAACGTTTGGCCAAATGTAAATTTCTACTGCCTGCTTTAGACACGATTCCGTACATATTTTTATTTATTTTATTCTGACCATCATGGACGAAAACGTTGTTATTTTGAAGAACAACAAAGAGAACTTAAGCAAAATAAGTATCTAAAAAATGGGACAAACTGAGAGAGAGCAATTAGGGACGAATCGAGAGGACACGGAAGTTTGTAGAGAATTGAATTGTACATAATTTTTCATATAAAAAATGCAGATATCAAACAGTCATTCTTCTTGTGTTTATCTTTTTGCTATATCAGCTGCTTATCTGTTTCGTTTTCATTCTTTTCCTTTATGATCTCTTTTTTATACGAAAAATTAGAACTCCATGACAGAGGAGCAAGCCTAAGCGAAAATCGACAAATAAGCCTATTCATGTAGGTTGAAAATCTTCTCTGGCACTTGAGATGAAATCAGCAGGAAAAACTGTCTATGGGATGTAATTTCGGCGAATATTGATTTAGTTATAACGTATTCCCATATCCCGAGGCGGATCTAACAGGAAAACCCCCCAACACAGAATGGCATTACTCTCGAGAACAGGAGATTAGGTATCGGGTTTTTAGTTGATTCGTATACATTGGCAGCTGTAGAGTCTATATGCTGGATGTTCGAATGTGAGCAGTTCGAGTTCGGTCTATTCATCACTGTAGTCCCAACCGCACTACGGCATTGATTCACTGACTATTAGCTTCTACTGTCGTGTATGAGTAACTCAACAAATCATTTGACTATGAAAGAAAAAGTTTAAAAACGTTTTAACACTTTCACTGTCGACAAAAAAACCTAAAGCATCACCTATACGTCCATTTCAGATAATACGTGATAATGCTATTATGAAACTCAAATGACACTTTTTTATGTTTTTGACACAAAAGTTCCTTCTGGAACCTTTTAATTTTCCTGATTTTATAATTCAGGACGTATAGTAGAAAAATATTCACTCTCAAGTTCATGAATCATATATGATTCAATTATTGTCATAGTACCCATATAATGTACAGTAATGACATCAAGTACAGGACACAACATGACGTCAGGAGAATGAATACTTTTTTTGAATCATTTAATTGTGTTATAAAATCTGTATACTGAATTATTGCAGATATTTTACGGTACTTATTGTAGGTGTTTTACGAAATACTGTTTACGAAACATTCCTCGAAAAGATGGTAAACTTATGCGGAAAAGATGTCACGGCTGTTACAGCGACATAGTAAATATTTCGAACACAGAAATGACATCGAAAAAGGCAAAGCAAGTGGCTAAAGAGTGTTAAACTAGTAAAAAACCATTTTGTTTATTATGTTTTGAAAAAGTACACGTGAAATAAAATTTACGAGTTTAGAAACATTATTTTTCTGATCAAAATCATATTTAGTCTAATCCTGCAAATGTATCATATCTGGTATATGAACTGCATGGTCAAAAATTAAATGAATCATATATGACACATGAACAGTGAAAGTGTTAAAAGAATGTTCGTGTTCTTTGTTTATCTTGTGTTTAATTTAGCAAAATAAACTGTTGAAAACGGATGATCTAAACAGGATAAATTCGAATTATAGATAGGAGTGTTAATTTAGTTTTATTGTTCATTTATAATAATGGATAAAAGTAACTGAATCATTTATATTTAAAAAATAAAGATAAATTCGTCATTTATAGTTAAAAAATAAAAATAAATAAATCTCAAAAAAAGTTTATCTTTGTTTTATAAAAATAAATGATCCATTTATCTTTATTTTATAAAAGTAAATGATCCATTTATCTTTATTTATTTATTTCTACCTTTACTTTTAAAAATAAAGGTAGAAATAAATAAATAAATATAAGGGAATCATTTACTTTTATAAAATAAAGATAAATGGATCATTTATTTTTATAAAATAAAGATAAATTTTTTTTTGATTTATTTATATTTATTTTTTAAATATAAATGACGAATTTATCTTTATTTTTTAAGTATAAATGATTCATTTACTTTTATTTTCCAAAGTAACACTAAATTAACACCCCTAATTATAGATCCTTCAGATTGATTTAAATCCAATCGATCTTCACAGAAAAGAGTCATTTAAAAAAATGAATGGATAAGGAGTTTCTAATAGTAGAATTCAGACTGATTCATCTTATCTGATTATCATATGATTCATAAAGAAAATGTAACATCGAATTTTTCTTTTGACTGGATTTGTATAGACTTACACTTGGACATATTCCTTGGGTTTAATCGGGTGTCACGATTTGTCGTGTAGCAATGAAACATGCATTATTTTCCTGTTTGAAAGTAGAACATTATTATAATAGATTCCCAGGCAAACATCACCTATGGGAAAGATCTAGATACATTTCGTCTGTAATCTGGCGATACACGGCTAGTTGCCGTCTAGATTACTAGTTGGAAAAGGGAATTTTAACTAGATTTAACTACACAATACGAAGGAGTATCCATGATTATGCCGTAGCCGTAGATAGTCATGTAAAGAAAAGTTTGAGTTAGAGCAGCAATTTTAAGTTTGTTTTGGTCCAGCAAGTTCAAAGTACCTTTAGGTTCCATTATATCTTATTTACTCTCTAAATAAAACATACTTTACTAATGTGGCCTCTGTAGCAGATTGATTTACTTTGTTTTCATGCAAAAATGTTTTTCCTCACTGTGCAAATAAAGTAGACAGAAAGGCGCAGCCCTAATTCGAATGTATCTTTATAAGGTTTATGTATTTTGTCCTAATAGTTCCTCAACAGAGCGCTCGCCGATATCTCCAATAAGAAAAATATAAACTATCATATTTGAAATCTTCGTCCGAACACGTTCGGTTGCATCAAGTTTTGAGGTCGAACACTTAATTAGCACTTTTTTAGCGAGCAGGTATTGACTGATCATAGTTACCCTAAATGGGGTAACTGTGATGAGTTAGTGTATACCGGTGAGATAATTATGATCAGTGCAGACAAAATGGGTGGAATGAACTTAAACAACTTCGTTTCAACGGGTAATTTTAAGCAAACAAATTAGAAATTAGTTCATTTTGTAGAGAATTATTAGCTCTATTTCTCATGTGAATTGCACATCATTCGGACTTGACCTGAATTACTTAATAAGAAATTACGAAAATTAAAAGAGAGTTATTTCTTTGATGTGTGCCGGCCTCTAGAAGCCGGCTTTTAGTCTAGTTCACGTGAAAAATGTCTTATCCAATTCTCGTTCTAATAGACCAAAAGCTTTCTAAAAGCACATAACATCAATCGTTGCACTTGGAAATAAGCTATACACTTATATGCGATCAGTATTTTTATCATTTCAATTTGTGGATGAATTAAATAGCATCTTATTTCACTCATTAGTAAAACAAGTATCTTTTTTTGAGAAATTATTTGTATTGTTTTTCAAGCTTTTGAGAAATAGTTATGTTTTCAACATCATTTTTGTGTCATTGGGTATATTGTGTGTTGTATTCCAAGTGGGACGATTGGTCTATCAGAACGAGAATTTGATAATGTACATAAAAAGTTCACTTGTTCGTTGTCCGACTGATAATTAAGGCTCTAACTTAATTATTCTAACTAACAGAAATACATTTATAATCAACGATGTTCATTTTATGCACAGTACTCGGTATACGTTGACTGATCATAATTACCCCGTTTGGGGTAATTATGACCGGTCGATACCTGCCCTCTGAAAATTGATTAGTAGTAATTAACGCTAATGAATTTTAAGATAATTTTTACATCGATCGATAGGTAAGACTCAGCTCAACTTACCGATGCAATATCCTTTTTTTTTGGTGGAAAATAGCTGCAGAGCTTCAAGAATACTGAGAAATTTGTTTATCGTGATCATAATTACCCCAGATTACTCTGAATATATTATACAATACATTGTTAGAACAGTTATATCGTGTGGACTCCTTACTAGCATTTCGTCTTTTCGTTTTCTTCTCTTGTTATAATACCTACATGGATGTTAAACCGTTTGAATTTACATCTTTCTGATCTCTTATTTTGTCATAGGTGATGTTGAGTCAGAAGTTATTTTATGTTACGCTCTTTTTGTCTATACCTTGATTTAAGAGTAGATTAGAAATTAATTAGGTCTCCAATATTTTACAGTCAAAACATATCTTAAATTTTGCTCATTTTAGCGACTCCAGAATAAGGTTTAGAGCTTTTAAGTTATTCGCTAATACTCACACTTAAAGGAAAAATCCAACTTATCGATTAATTTACTTCAAACCTTGTGGGTAAAAGGTATCAACTGAATACTACAAAGGTTCCAGATTTCGGAAAACATTTCCGTTTAAAAATAATTGTACATTGACATTTGTAGTTTATTAATGGAAAAAAATAAATAAATAAAACACACACAAGAAACTCAATGTTATATGGACGTGGACAATAGAAATTATTTTTTTGTCGTCCTCTTTTCATCCAGTTGACATTTAATGAGGTAAACTTTTCTTTGCATCAACACTTGCGTGTTCTGATCGTGAAACACGAAGATAATATGAAAAGAGAGTCTGGTCAAAATCAAATGAAATAGTAGATCTAGATGCAAATAAGGAAAGGACAGTTTTCACTTAAGGCGCGTTTCCTCTGCTCTATATTCAAATTCTTTTTCATATTTAGTAATAAATCAGTTTCTAGTCTTCAATATGTTTATTTAAATCACTATTATATTCCTATCTCTTTTGTCATCGCTACTTTTCATACGGATAAAAATATTAATTTTTCTTTTAGTTCTTGTAACTTACGTAAGAAAGAAAGAAAAAGTGAAGCACTACATCTACTATTCGTTTCAGAAAGCAAGTCCGATCATTATTTTTTGAATAAATCAAAGGGAATAAAAGATAGATTTGCGGTTTTCATCATTCGATGGCCAAGACTTGAAGCTATATCTTCAGCGGCAAAAACGAATTTGGGAAGAGTTTCAAAGACCAGTT